CCGTGGAGTTGTCAAAGTTCCCACTAACATAAGGCGGAGGCAGCAGGGGATCTTCAGGTCCTTGCTCGGAAGGCATCATACTACTCTTCCTGGAGCAGTCAGGAGAGGGTGGTGGAATTGGCTCTTCCAGTTCCATAAGCGTCCCGTTCAGAGCAGATATCGGAGGTTGTGGGGCCAAGGGATGTTCAGCTTCCCTCAGCTCATCGGCCAGAGACTTGTTATTTGTGGGAGCACTCACTTCCATAGAGACTACCCAGTGTGACCTCATATCCAGATCTGTTTCGAAGTTAGCCTCGTAGTGGCATTTTGATATGGACCCTCCCAAGGACGCATCCATCCTATTACTACTAACTTGCGAGAGTACAGGAAGATTGAGTACCTCATCCCCAGCCAGGGCCTGTGTTTCCCGTGGCGGAGCCTGATTATTCATTCCGGTATATATGTTGCTGAGGCTTAAGGACTTTATGTCTGCCCTTAACTTGGACCCCCCACTTTTGAGATCCACCTGTGCAGGTATCTCTGCACTACTACTCAATTCTTGCGTCACACTATGTGGAATAGCACCCAACCCCCCTTTTGGGCCATTCATTTTGAAAGTCTTAGGGCACAAGCGAACTTGCACAACATCTTTAAAAACTCTGGTTACACGAATTCCATGCTTAGTAAAAAATAATTTTCCCCGGGCCAGCATCTTCGCGGGAGTAGTACCGTTTTTGAAGTGTAAAACCACTCTAGAGTAACTTCCAATACTAGGTAGCCTATCATAAGAACTCAATAAAATATCAGAGGTGTTGCACTTGAGCAATTGACTCAGAGATCTTATAATCATTGTCTTATTCCTCCAATTATAAGAGTCAGTCTGTGCAACAAACAGGATAGCCACAGAATTTCTCTGAAGAATGAGGGAGCTAGACACCCGCCTGGCCTCTCCAGTATCACTTTCTGGCATTAAAGTGCTTACAGCTGGGTTCCTTGTAGTTGTCGTCTCAGGCCTTGTTTTATCCGCAGCTCTGATTAGGCAATGTGCAGCAGCCAAGTTATTAACAGCCTCCCTTACGACATTTACTTTAGTGTCAATATCCTTAAGTTTATCAAACAGTAAAGCCATGGACTGGGAGGTTAGTATTGCCCCTTTAGAGAATAACTCCATAATCATACCTGGCAGCCGCTGACAACAATGTAAGCTTGGGCTTGAGCTTGGCTCTGCAGTTGCTTTACCTTGGTTGAAGACTCCCTCCTCGTCACCCGGGAGAACCATGGAATCCGACTCCAGAGCAGCATATCTGTTGGTAAGACTAATATTTTCTGGCTGGGAGTTGGAAATGAATTGGTCTATCTTCTGTTGTTTACCTTCCTTTAAACTGGCAGCCTCAGAGGCAGAGCGACGACGTTTCCTGTTAGACATAAGGCCCGATTACTCCTACCCGTTTCTATGTATGTAGCAGCCCCTCCTTAACCTTGAAACAGTAAAGATTGCAGCTGCCCAAAGAAGTTGGTCATTAAAGAAGATAGTTTGTAAACTTTAAAAGCCTTGGAGTAAGCACACCGGGAAACGTTGCAGCCAGCTAGCTAAGTCCATCCCTCCTCACAGAGCTGTACTGAGGATTCTTTTGTTCCAAGACACTGAAAGGCTGGACAACACATCCAATTACCATGTCCGATTACACAGGGAAGCCACTGAAATTCATAAACGCAATTAAAACAGGAAAGAAGAGAGTTTAAACATAAATCGGGCATGGTTTCCTGTCCTGAGAAACACAAAAGGCTCTGTATCTGACAATAGCACCACATATAAGATTAGAATTTCAATAGCCAATGCACATCCAAAAGAACCTCCTGAGGAAACCTCCTGAGGAAAGAATCCATATACAAAAGAACCTCATCAGGAAAGCTCCTCCATTAGCATGTTCACAAGATAATGACTCAGCCCTGCCCCACCTTCCTGAGTAGGTATAAATTACCTGCCTACCGTCTTTCTGTGTTATGCCTCTGAGGATGCCAGTCACAGCTACTGGCAAAACGTCAGGTCCTACAATGCCAAGACCAGGGCCAGACAACCCGTGAAATCTACAATAGCTAATGATTCTTATACTGTTGGCACAGGTGGAAAGCAAAGCCCCGAGGGCCGGTTGCTGGAACTTGGCAGGCCTGATATGGCCTGCAGGCTGCCCATTGGCAAACAAAAGGGGTTAGTCACTCTTGTCTCCTTCTCTTCCAGGTCCGGCTGCACATGATGTGTGCGACGCACCCCAACATCGTTCAGATCATCGAAGTGTACGCCAACAGTGTGCAGTTCCCTCACGAGTCCAGCCCAAGGTGACTTGATTTCCACCGCTTGCTTGCCATCTTTTAAGGATAGTCCAGGGTTCTGTTGGCACTTCAAGTTGCCTCCTCCAAAGCGAGTCGCAGCTGCCATTCGTGGTTGGGGGTCTCCCTCCCCTTTCTCGTTGTCACGTGCTGTCCTTTCATTGTGACGAGCATGCTGTTTGGAAGGTGCTGG